GTACTGCTTGTGTGCAGTGTGGGTGTCGTTTGCCTTGACCTTGTCTTATTTAACCTTGACCCGATTTTGAATAGAAATGCACATTTCCTGAACCTAGGAAGTCAGGTTTGACGTTTCCTTCGTTTTCGTTGCAGTTTTTGTGGCTGACGAAGGAATTGATAAGGTCATTTGCATTGTGACGTTACAGAGAGTTGCTTGGCATTGACGTTATGAACACGTTGCCAAGGGATATAATCTAAGCTATGTATGACAGCAATAGAATGCATGAACTACATACAAATGGAGTGTTGCTTTTGAATAACAAATGTCATGACCAGCCCCAGAAACAAGTTCCACATACGCTTTGTTCTGTTTGATACTCAGCAATATTTCAGCTATATGATGGTGGTCTGTAAATAATCGTGTCTGGGCCAGACAATCCAGTGATTGACATCTTGAGCATCGATCAAAGCAAATTGGATACGAAGACGTCCATCAGCAAGTATGTATCATGCATGACTTCAATATCAGTCTTCGCAGATAGGGCGTGGTTTCATATGGGTTTGTTTCCGATTCACAGCAAATAATATATTATGAAAAAACGTTGACATATTGCTATTGAATATGTTCGTAATTATGACTGACAGCTGGATTTTCATTTTCAACTAGGTGCCAGTTTTGTAGGCATGGTCAAGTACACCAGTATGGGTACGAGTGTCGAAAACATACAACAACCGTGAGTGAGTGAGTTGGGATTAACGCCACTTTCAATTTCATTTATTTAACGACGTGTCAGCTTGATGTTGGAGGAGAGCCCGAAAGTATGAAAGTCTTCGACGTTTTCTACTTTGCTGAAACCGACGAGTACCAGTTTGGTGCTAATAAACCTAAAAACATAGCTAGGCCTAATGTGACATTCGAGCACACCATCACAGGTTACTGGCGCGCCTAAGGGACGTAACTCTCCACATCGTTCTGCGCCGGCATAGACGACTGGGTCACCCGTGCTCCCTACATACAGACAAAGACCCAACCATCAGCTAGTCAACAGGTCGCTGACACAAGATGACTAGTAATGTCTTCATCTTACCTCCTTGAAAATCTCCTTGTATTAAAAACTTGCTAATCTGCTAAACATGCATGTGATGAAACAAAATCCAATTTACATCATTGTGAACGTATCTGATATATAAAAAAAAGATTTCAAAAAGTGCTGCTCACTTCTTAAATCAGATCTAGTGGGCTAAAACGAGTCCTCATATTGCCCCGTCGTTATCATCGAAACGTGTGTCAATGCGTGTTTTAATTAATAAGCTTCCAAAAGGCTTTGCGGTAGACATGTAGATGACACTTCCAAATTTGAAACTTCAGTGAAAATTATGTCCGATGCAATACCTACCATATGTTCCCGTGTGGGTTTGTTACAATTGACTTGCCTCTGCATGTATTTGTGGCGTGTGGCAGAATACGCTCAACGTTTCGCGAACACCTGGTATCATCACTATCTGATAGTGATTCATGATATCGCGGACTCTGCTTTTAGCAGAGATTTCATATGATAATGGCAAAGGTTTTGTCGATTTTATTTCAATAAGATCAAATTACAATACACATGATAACCTAACACGTTAGACGAGATATGTTACTAAAATCGTACGTTTCTGAGTCACGGATAAAAAACCGTGTTTTATTCAGTATGTCAACTATGTTTATGAAAATCGAAACTTGCTTGTGATATAAGGTATTGTAAAATCGGCCGAATTGACAAAGGGGTGTTAGCGTTAGGCATGTTATAAGCTTTGCAAGCTAACATTGTTTCGTTAAACCTGTGTAATGTCTATAAAATGGTTTGAGTTTTCCAACTACAGTAACCTCTGTCTTCAACACATATGTTTATACTTTAACATAGAAACAAATATTGCAGTGTGGATCACGTCGTTGTGCAAATTGTAAGAATCCGTGTGAATCTCTGTTAGTATATGTTAAGATATGTTACTATGAACGAGTTGTGTGATGGACCCATAGCACACGCTGATCTCAGCGTTACAACGATTCCACATCTGTGTGGAAGTCTGAACGACAGTCTAAAGGCCAACGTGTTCAAAATGTCTCTGGTTTATAGGGAAGACTGTACCTATAGAACTAATTGTCAAACAGAATATATGATATACGTGTATATGAAATGACAATAGCACCGTATTTGTGTCGATGAAGTGATTGCATTGATGAAATATCATGTTAAGGTGTTTACCCTTTTCTTTTACATCTGGTGTCATCACTGATAGTTCACAATATCAATCACTGGATTGTCTGGTCGAGACTTGATTATTTATTTGCCGCCGTAATATAGCATAGTTTTTGCTGAGTGCGGCGCTAAACAACAAACAAATAACCGTGTTCAGTTCAAAGATGAAACTGTTTTCACATAGTTTGTCTAAGCGTTTACGTGTTTTCGCGAACACCTGGTGTCATTACTGATTTTCAGTGATCCATTCATTTCATTTTCACTGCTATGTTGCAATTTATATAATTAGGCAGGATGGATAATCGAGACTGGTTATTCTCTGGCGTTCACGTTTTATATTTATTGATACTAAAAGCGTTATTAAAAGTTAAAGACCTGTTTTTTTTATTTTTATTTTGTCAAACGTGTTATTGTGGTTGTTATAGAACTGTGGTCTCGTTTCGTACAAAGTTATCTACACGTAGAATTAGCTTACGGTAACATTTCCAGCTTATGTATCTGACTGATCGTATTGTGTTAGTCCTGTAAGCATCGACCCACGTGCCATCCATAACGTCGTACGTACAAGATGCAATCACCTGCACCTGCAGCTACATCTGATGATTGGTCTGGCAAACAAATAAACAAAAACGTTAAATGTAATACTGAAAGACATTGTCTCCCCACACAGATAGGCACTATCATAGGATCTCCATTATTTCACCAAATATGATTTCAAATAAAACGCTACCGTGTGATTACGTTAAAAACATTATGAGAGATGGCGAATCCTGGATGGACGGTCGGAGTGAAAATTAACAACAAAGGGGTGTTTTAACGCTAGATCATCGAAGATTTAAGATAGCCCATTTTCAGATCTCTTTTCACTATGAGCATTATTGCTGTTTTTGCGTTGATCATATAGATAACACCTTATGCAGAGAAAGAGAATACAAACGCGTGAATGGCTGAAGGATCGTTGGATACTTGCAATATGTCTACAATCCAAGACCTCACACTAACAAATGGTGGCCAAAACGTTAACGTTATTTTATCACCAACGGGCAAGATCCGAGGAACGCTAAATTAAAAGCAATAAAACTCCATTCTTAGCGCTAGTTCAAAGCCAAGAACTCGTTCTGCTTTGTAGTCAAACGACGTGCTGTCCCCACCAGACGGTAAAATATCGGAAACTATTGTTCCCGACGCTAAGGGGTTCGGGAAGCTGCGGAAAATTTAACGCTAGAGATGCCCACTTCTGTTTACCCCTGCTATGAGAAACAGGGGTAGGGTCTCACCTGGGGTGTAAGGCATAACTTCCACGAGGGTGGAGAAATTTATTAGGGGCTTACAGGTAGATGAGGGTATATTGCAGTGCAGTCTATTGATGGGTATGATCCTCCAACACTGGGCAATTTAAACCACACTGAAATGAACACGGTCGTATTTGCTATTAACATATTGTGACACTGATTGCATTGATGAATAGCCCGAGATTGACACATTGTCTCTCTCCGCATGTCCAGGCTGACCGCTGACAGAGTTACGTCGGCTATAAAACATTAATTCGGCCAGTAATTGTCCCTAATTTCGTGTATATTGTGAAATAACGATAAAAAACAAATTGTTACTCATTTGATTGACGTAAATGACTGGCATCGTAAGGTGTTTGCTATAAACTGACGCTCATCTACGTACTGTAATATTACAATTTCATCGCAGATTGCTTGTGACAAGTTAATGGCCTAATGATTGTGCCACACAGTTTGTGACGTTACGTAAATGGGTTGGTACCAGAGAAAATGCATTTAACACCAATAAAATACACTAAAAGTAATTGTAAAACTTCTTTTTTAGCGGTATTCTCATATTTTTTTTTAAAACGAATTTTGTAAGGTAAGTTAGGCAATAAACAACATTCGGTCAATGTCAGAATTTGTATAGTGGACGAGGTAGAATAGGGAACCTTTTTGAACCACGGGCAATGTCATTCTTTTAAGTTATGGAAAACTGTAATAATGCCATAACAATCATCAGATATGTTCAAATGGCTGACAAATAGCCATTTTTGTTTCTTACACTTGTAAGTGTTTTTGACATTTTCAGGTGCACAATAATGTTTAAATGGGGCGAAAAAGGGCGAGTTTACCTACTTCAAAAGAAATTCAAATTATCAACACGTCCGTGATCCAAACAGATTTTTACCGTATGTTTGTACTATCGTTATATCCTTCTCTTCAGAAAAATCAGCTGATGTCTACGACTTGCTGATGTACATTTATTAAGATATTGTTTCCTGAACATCTCTAAAACCAACCTTTTCGGCACATTTCGACACGTCGAAATGTAAAAGATCTCGTTCTCATTCATATGCACATATCTGCCAACTCACATATTAACGATTCTCAACACCTAAAAGGTTCTTGAATTGTGTAGATTCTATTGGTCGATGTTAACACGTGGTAATTCGGAATTTGCAAGCATTGACAATATTAGTTTGACTGACTTGCACCTATTTCACTGTTCTTAAGATATTTAAATCACAGACATGCTATTTCTTATAATCGACATACGAGATATAACGACTAAACACTGAAAGCGGAGTAACGTTGAAATCATTGAACACAATTATGCAGAGTACTGGAACTGATTGAAAAACGTCGTTCTCAGTTGTTCAAACCGTCCTTCTTTAGTATCTGTTATTGAGATCGATTTGTCCCTTTGATCTTTTGCTATCCAATCAAGCGGTTAAGTGTAAGGCGATAAGGGCATATCTCTGCATTGAAATAATATAATATGTGTGGCCTGCGCATGTGCAGTAACTGTTTATTCATGATAACATCTATGACCCCGCAATGTACCAGCTCGGAGTATTATCAAACTATCATAATATATTTCAAAATCTGATAACTCTCATAACCGCGTTGTCACATGGCACAAAAATCAATATTTGTCACATAATACAATAATTATTTTTGCTGAAATTATAACAACATGCTTTGCGTCGAATTAAACTACACACCGAGTGATGATTCAACCCCACAATTTGTCACATTGAGTAAAGAAATCACACCTCGTATGTGCACATGCAACATCTGTAATGGTGTAAACGGAGATCTCATAAAGATATTATAACAATTACATAACGTTTCCAAACATTAATTAGCTTCGTAAACAGCCTGTAAAAGAAGAATTATCTAATTATATATCTTTGTATCACATCGTAATTTTTATATACATTTATTATAGAGATGTTTAAGTATTGAACATTGTAATGAGTTTGATTTGTGAAATATGTTAACTTGCATTAAGAACACTAGTCTGTCTTACAGACCCTGATACATTTATATCAACTACAGCCCATGCAAGTCTATAATGTTTGGCAAGTCTAGATTACTGCAGTATCTGAAAATGAAGAGTCACTGGGCTCCCTTTTACTATATTTTTATTAAGATAACTGAACAACTGTTTTTTTCTGTACGATATGTTCATTTCAGAGACTATATGTTAGTCTATAAGAACACCTACAAAAAGTATTACAAACATAATGTTCTTTTCATGTACACCCTGTGTATAATCATGTAAATTATATCAATATAATCGACGCCGATTTGAATAACTGTGAGTTTGCTACTTCCAGCTATGCTTCTCAAAGTTTCTCTCCACTGAGACAATTACTTTTATTGGCTGTACTTCTCATAAAGCTGACTTTAAAGTGTATCAAAACGTCGCGTGGAATGACCGCAAATGTCCCGTGGAATAGACCCCCGTAAAAGAGAAATATACTGCAACAATAAACCCATACCTGAAAACATCTACATCTGCTACTGGGGGCGGACCAATATTTTGCCTGCTTCGGCAGTTCATATGTGATTGATTTTAACGATTCTTTAAACCATTTCCATGTTGGAAATGCTTGGTTCCCACCAGGTCTCACCTTGACTCCTTACTTGGTATTCCCTGACCTTTATTAGCTTGTAGAAAATTCAGAAGCCTTGGTTCATAAAATCGACTTCCCTCTGCTTCCCAGTTGGGTCAAGTTTATGACTTAGTTCACTATCCAAGCCTATTATCTTTATGCCCATAGGAATGGCTTTGTTCCGCGGGACAGCCGTTCCACAATTTGTAAATCAATTCAAGATTTATTACGTGTCATGGTTGACAACAATACCAGTTTTGTTGGATATGACAGTTGTATGTAGAATTGTTAACTTAAACTGAAATATGTGAAATTACAGTTTTCTTTGAGGCTTTTGTATTGGATTTTGAAATTGACGATTCAGTAATTTCTCTATTTGCTTTTATATACGTTCACAAATTGATATTTTTTGTTATAAGTATTATAATTTCTACAATTCATTTTGTAATGTACTTTGATATATAACCAGCTGTGAGAAACCTCCTTTGTAGTGTTTGTGAATTGCGTAACACAGTTGTATATCTTATTTATGGTTCATATTTGAACAAATGAATATTTCAACTGGAAATTATATACACGAGGAATCTTTGTTACGTGCGCTGTGGCAGGTATACGTGTATAATTACATCAAGTTCGATATAATTTGCACATTTTAATCTTTTTTTTCTGAGATCTGAGGTGTGTTCCCATAGTTTAACACAGACGTACAGCCGTAGCGCTAAGATAGCTTTCTGGAACGGGGGCCATGTCAGTTTGGAATAAAACGATAGTCAATATACACTTTCAAATCCATTCCCAACTTAATGATCCGTTCAAGAAAACGCCAATAATTTGGTCCTCACCACAGTGAGAAGGATATGTATATATGTGCATTTAATCCGTTTCCCGAATTAACTGCAACATAACTAGAATCTATTCCTGGAAAGATGACCCCTCTCTATAAAAATATCTGTTCCTGTGACAATGACGTGATGTTTGATGACAAAGAGTTTAATTCGTACACATTTGGTTTTGTGTAGCAGATTATTGTTAGGTATATATATATATATATATGGTAAGGTCTGCATCGATGTGTGTCTGAATGAACCGCTACCGTCTCATTTTGTCAAGTCAGTTATGATGATAATATGTCTTCACGTGTCCTCTCTTCACATTTCACCATATATATTCCTAAAGAAACCCGTTTCATTGCATGTACATGTATACACATGCGTTTCATCTCACAAACCTATTCATAACTCTTACATTCTTTGGAGACGAATAGACATGCCCTCGTTGCTATGCTCCTTAAACCCCTACTCGCTCCTCTACATCTAACACTATAAACATACCGACATTACGTCACGCGACCATCTGTTTGATCAATATATGTTGGTGTATGTATTGTTGTAATCGATTTGGTCTTGAATCAGCATTGTCGTAATAAAATATGTAGTAAGAAAACGTTTGATCTCCAAACGTCATTTCCGACAAATACAGGAAACTAGTACTGTCAGTATACGTAGCTACTAGTATATTATTTTCTTATATACAACGACAGGTCAGTAAATGAATTGCCAAGTTGGTCTAGCGAGTTCTGGCTATTCAATTTACTTGTCTCTTCGTAATTTAGCACTGACTGTTCACAGTATCTTTTGCAAGGCAAGCCAGACATCGATGTTGCTTTGTCAGTCCAACCGTTCAAAAGGCCGTCCAGTGGCCAGTCTACTCTCTGCAGGCCAGTGGTCATTACTCATCTCGTCTTCGGCCCTCCGGCCACGGTTTTGTGGTCAAAGGGTCTCGTTTACATTCTGGCAGACCACAGCCGAAGCAAGATCTCATCATATTATTACGCCTCGTCTGTCATATTTCATCCTCTCCTTGGCAAATGATGGGATGGAGGGAAATCCATGGCACCAGAAAGGCTAGCCAGTTTCTCGGACACGCCACGGCAAGCGTTGCCCGTCTCGATCTCAGTTCTCTTTTATTGGACCTGTTTCCTGAAACGAAACAAGAGTGCATGACTCGTTTGCTCTTAAGTGCCATAAAATCGTTCGAATATTTTATCGAAAAAAATGTTCATTTTTCAAGTAACACGTTCACATACCATCAGGGCCAACTGACCAAGTGACGTATATAAAATGGATGCATTTCCAACCAAACCAGAATCATAGATTTTAATTAAATGTGTCACTATTGATCATTGCATTTGAAGTAGTAGCAGTTTTCTTTTCAAATTATAGGGGCGTGTTAAAGTGAAATTGAGTGTTAGGATATTGCAATCACAAATTTCAGCCTAATTCATGCTTACTGTCATTTGATTAGGTTTAACGATGAAACATTCGCTGAGAGCATGGTCGGGGGTCTTTTCTTTGTTCACTCTTGCAAACATAACACGCTGTTTAAGTTATGGGGGTAAAAAGAGTTTACGTTAAATCTAACAGACCCAACATATTTTCAAACATTTAGATGAAACGGCATACGGGTACATTGAACGTGTCACATATTTCTATATGAAAATCACACAACAACACCATTGTATTTCTTGTCATTTTCTGCTTCGGTATGTTAACAAAAGCTACTAAACGATTTTGATGTGAAACCTATATTAAGTGTAATATTTACATTTGTCTGTGTTTTGTTTTTGTAAAAGAAACAAACACCCAAAGCCACTGACAGTTAGCCGTAACAGAACATATGGGGAACCACCGTTCTTATATGGGTTCGGTCTTGTGTTTTTATATTCTGACTCCGTGCTCCTTCAGTAGTAAACTCTGAATATGCTTCTGATAGTAAGTAGATCTTTGACACGAGACATAACAAGGTCTCATTTACAGTATGTGTGCAATGTCTCACCAGAGACAATACGGCTGATAAAGTCAACCAGCCTTATAGTCTGAAGGAGTAATATAAATAAGTCCGTGGATACAAATACACTTTTATGAATCTGGATGCACCGCAGGCTTAAGTCAATCATTCAGATAAGCCTCCGATGATAATTCAGATAAAATATGAATATTGAACATAGCAAATCACTTGTTGCCCAGAGACAATAACGTGTACATCAGAATGATTTCTTCTATTTTGATGGTTGTATTTTAGTATCATATTAATGAAAGGACTTGTTTCCCAAAGTGCTGAGATTATGTCAAGAGGATTGTTGACATGGTTTGAATGGTTTGTTTTTTATTTTCATTTTGAATGCACGAGTTACCCAAGACAAAAGTATCCTTCGTGTATTTGTATATTGGTATATATGGTATTGAGTTAAGACACGCAAGCTGACTGGATCCTATATATCGTTAAAATTGAACACAGTCGATTATGTATGTCAGTGTATACGCATCTTCTATAGGAATCGGTTTGCAGTATGTCAGTAATATACTACATTTGCAATTTACAGACATAATAGTTTACCTAGGAATAGCTGTAACAGAGATGTAACAGTACTACTGACAGATAAACACTGAAAATCTGCCGAAAGGAACTTTGAAATGATAACAGAATGATAACATTTTCTAACAAATAACAACAAATTCTAAACGTTTTGTGTGTATGTGTTGGTTTTGCAAAACACTTTCCCTGCAGCATGCACTATTTTATTTCTATTAACCAAAGTATGGTTTCTAAAGAAACCTGCTCATCAAATATAGCAATCGTCATGTCAATTTATACACCCACAGTCATACACGATGCTGCACATTCATATGTTCTGTAAGGTTTCATATAAAGCCAAATCACTTAAGTTGTATATTGCTTCTTCGGTTGCGTAGTTCCACGATAAATTCTTGAATATACAGTGTCGATAGAAATCTGTATTGACTATTAGGTCATTGACCTTTCCAGGTGTGGAGCCTCTGGGGCACTGTGCACAACTTCACATACTTATTATGTTTAAAAAAAAAATCATTAATACAAAGTCTTTATCAAATATGATTCTAGTTTCCGTGATGGCTGTATCATTTGTTTTTAAAATGAAATGACTTGTGATCTGAAGATAGGAAACATACATCATAAAGATTGGCACACACGGGGGCGTTGTTGCTTTCATGTTTTATTATCATTGCAACACCTGCACCTCTTAAGTTATGTTGAAAACTTTTAAAAATTTGCCATGAAAAAGTAATATAATTGTGGAGAAAATGATTACCCCTTTCTAAGTTATGACTATGAAGAATGAAAACTATTTCTTGAGAAAAAGACACAAACACATTGACATGTGTCGATGTGGATACACAGTCGTAATTATTTGGAGCCGTTTGTGGTCATTAGATCTCATTTCTGAAGTCTTGTTTGGCATTCATAATATAATACACCAATAGACCCGGCTGGGTATTGTTTGTTGGATGTGAATCTTTATAGAGTGGAACAACCTACCAAGCATTGCATAGACTTGCAGTCAAATAAAACCACTTAATGAATTAGCTCCAACCGCTCTATATACTTGCACCAGCCGTTAACCATTTCGTACAGCGGAACATCAATTGCCTAGCACTTAATAGAGTTGGGACACCGCTCCATAGATTGCTACAACTGCTACCCACTCCAAATAGCTGGGCCCAAGCTCCGACCCACTGCTAACCAATTCAAAGAATAGGGCCCAACTGGTTAACGACCCCATGTACAGGCACTCACAATTCTACCCACATCAAAAATTGGGACCAAGCCCTAAACTCCATGGAGTCGAGTCCGAACTGCTAACCAATTAAATGGATGTGGCCCAAATAGTTAACCAGAACATGGAGTGGAACTCCTGATGGTACCTACATAGAGTTGGGCCCAAGCCCCAAACAAGCTTCATGGAGCCCAAACTGCTAACCAATTCAAAGAATGGCGCTCAAACTACAAACCACTTCACAGAGCGGGTAATAATAAGCTTACTACTTTGTGGAGCGTTGGCTAGACTAGCAAACAACTCAGAAGAGTGCCTCGTTATATTGTGTTACCACTGAACGTGTGGCGATGATCCGATGCGAACGTGTTCGACTTCTGAATGAGTCGGTCACAAGAGAAAGGGTTAACACGCGTGCCACAAGTCACGAAGAATCATGAACCGTAATTTGTACCACATTCATTGCATTTCTGTGGTAGTAGCCTGTGGGTTAACACTTTAATTCGTTGCACTGAAGACCTAGAGTCCTCACACGTGTACAACAATTTCCTTATCATGGGATCGAATCCACATTCGCCCTGATTATTTATCAATACGTGTCAGCATATTACCGTTGTTTGTTGGTTTCACCAAATTTGTAAACGTCAAAGAACTGCCTCACTTCGGGCTTCCCTCCCACATGTAGCCGACGGGCCGTGATGTAATTGAAATAGTTTTCAAAGCGGCGTTAAACCCAATTCACTCACTCACTCTTGATGTCTCCATTTTGATATTGTCAGCACAGTGCTTAAAGATCTCATCCCAACACACACAAATTGCATGCAAAATCAATTACCCGGAGAGCAGTGTTAAACGTGGAGGTTCAAACCTCGTGCAGAGACATTGATATTAACAGTTTAATGTTTGTCTCGACATAAACATTGTTTACATGTTGTTGTTTGCGTTGGGTAAATGCGGGTAAGGTAGCCAGTATCCAACAGTCTTTATGTGGAATACAGTCTTATGAAAAACGCATAAATGTCAAAGACGTTGTTATTTTTCTTGTAAACGTCAGTTTCGGTCATAAGACAGGTCAGTCGTTTGTCCAATTGCAAATTCAAATTTGTATGAACTTCATGTAACCTTGTTGAGAATCCGGGCACGAATATGTCCTCAGCAACCTTTGATTGTGGTAACTTAACAGATCTGGAGGTCCGACCCGGTGACATGGTTGATAGCGTGTCAACGTACCCTTACTTACTCATAACATCAATCTCTGGTTTGTCTGGTCCAGACCTTATTATTAACTTGCCGCCGTTAAGTAGCTGTAGTGTTGGGACGCTAAGGAACAAACAACACCATTTGGACTTCACATAAAATATGTAAAAACAATAAAGTAGTTATTTTCTTTATTATCATCCTTGGTCAAATGTCTGATATGTACAAATGTGTGTGGATAGTTTTGGATATATATACATTTCATATTTTATAATTTATATAGATTTATTTTATTTTATGTGTACAATGTAGAAAGTTATTTGATATACAGTAAATAGTTGTATACCTTGAGCTTTGTAAGAGGAATACCTGTTGGCTGTACCTTTACACTCTAAATGTGTTGCGATGTTCGTGGGTTGAGGTGGGTAGGGTGCAGTGGGAGGTTGTATGGGTGGGATATTTTATCGAAAAACATAATTTGTCTCCAAGAATTCTTGAAAATCATCATTTTGCTTCAGACTGTTGAGAAAAGGAATTTCCTGCCGTAATAATTACATTATGGGAAGCTTGATTTCTTTTCTTGTATTCATGCTCACAGGCTTAAATAAAAACTTATCTGGTTCTGTAGCTGTAAATATCTAATCTCGATACAATCCCCCCCAAAAAAAACAACAACAAACAAACAAACAAACAAACAAACAAAAACACACACACACACTACACACACGAGAAGTAACTCCCATCTAATTCAAGAAGAGGTGCAGGTGACACATGTACGGCAATTTGCCTTGTAGACTTGCGGCCCTAATCTCATGTAGTCTGATTACGATTTTGGTTGCCAAAAGTGCTTCATCAAAGTGTTGAGGACCTGTATCATTTCGGGCTGTCCTCTCAATTAAGGTTACAAGCCGAATGCCGTCATAGCGTTAAACCCAACTCACTCACTCAAGCTTGATGTCCACATTAGGATCTATCAATATGTTGTTGTTTGCGTGAGGAAAATGCTAATAAGAAAGCTGTTCAGTCAAATGCAAGCAACGGAGCTACTGTGGTGGAAACTGCATTTGATTCCAATATAAATTCAGAAGTATCAAATTAGAAATATATGTTTCGTCATTTAAAACATGCTGGTTATTTTCTAATTAAACCCAACATTGCTTCCTAATGGTGAAAGTGGCTACCCTTTGGTAG